CATAAATAATTGCACACTTCAAATAAAAATTCTGAACACCTTTAAAATATTCAAAAAATAAATATTAACCTTATCGACCTCCCACCACGAAGGATAAAGTTTAGCTTTTCCATTACCCAACGTATATGAAGAATCTCTCGGATCCTTCAAGTGAGCTACGTGAAAAGGCGTCGACATAATAGTCCATTGAGTATTTTTTTATTTTCTTCAATTTTCTTATTACTAGAAGACGTGACACCCATGCATCAATATGGTGTTTTATAAAAAAAATACATATATTAGTGAATTTATTAATAAAGTTTAAAAAAATTAATCAAAATGCAATATAAGAAGAATATAAGACTTACCCCTCCTTCGAAATAACCATTATCTTCAACCCCTAATAAAATACCCCACCAAGACCGATCAAGAAACAAATGTATCCTCAAACAATTTTCTTTGTAGAGGTGTAAACGTCGACGCAATTTTAGCGGCTAGGCTTAATTTATTCCTTAAGGTCAATTGAGCCGAAAAAAATTTCTACAAAAACAATAAACATACCAAGTTAGATATACCAAAAACTACAAATTATACACTATAAACAGACATGATATTAAAGAGTGAAAACAAAGCCAAATATGTTTCAAACTAGCACGGTATTCACCCAAGTCATTATTCCATCATAGTTTACAAAATGCATAAGATAACATTCCAGAAGTAAGCACTTATATAAACATAAAAGGACAATATATAGGTTTACTGCATGTTCAAGGACAACATAAATAGTAGTAGTTTATTCTTGAAACTTAAATTAGCAACATTGTGAAGTTAGTATTTGTCTTTGTTTTTTGGTTGAAGTAATGCAATTCATTCAAGTTTCAATTTGCAGAATAAGAGTAGTTTCTTAAACTTAAATTCGCAACGAGAAAATGAAAATCGCAACGCGAAACTAAAATCGCGTTGCGATTTTCATTTTCGCGTTGCGATTTTAAGTTTCAGAAACTACTCTTATTATGCAAATTGAAACTTGAATGAATTGCATTACTTCAACAAAAAAACAAAGACAAATACTAACTTCATGGGTTAAAGACTAAACAGTTTAGCAGTATTGGCAGCAACCGAATGAATTTACTAAGCAATCTCAGTGAAATGGTTAATCTATATATATTGAAATTACCAGTAAATTTATCATCAATATAAGAAAAATCTAATAATAATACAAAAATTTCAAAAAAAATAAAAGATTAAAAAAACTAACCCTCGGTGGTTGATTTTCCATTTCTGACCGTGAATGGTTGTGAGGGTTGCTCTGATAGATGGAAATAGACGGATTTCGCCGGAGATGGGGACGAATTTCGTCGGAGATGGGGACGGATGTCGCCGTAGAGAGTGAGAGATGGAGATGGGACTGAGTTGTGATTTAGGGTTTTAGGTTATGATTTGCAATAATAATGTTTATATTTGTGTTGCGAAATTAATATTGTGTTTCGAATTCGAAAATAAAATAAAATTAGAGTTGCAAAAATAAACGTGCTTTGCGAATTTGACTATCGCGTTGCGAATTTGACTTTTGTGTTGCGAATTTGAAATTCAATGTTACGAATTTGACTATCGCTTTGCGAATTTGACTATCGCGTTGCGAATTTGACTTTTGTGTTGCGAATTTGACTTCTGTGTTGCGATTTACAAATTCGCGCTGCATTTTACAGATTCGCGTTGCGAATTTGACTTCAGTGTTGCGAATATGACTATTGCGTTACGAATTTGACTATCGCGTTGCGAATTTGACTTCTGTGTTGCGAATTTGACTTATGTGTTACGATTTACAAATTCACGTTTCGATTTACATATTCGCGTTGCGAATTTGGAAACTGGGTTGCGAAATTAGAGTTCGCATTGCGAATTTGAGATCGCGTTACAAATTAGTTGGTCATTTTCGTAAATCTAAAAAAAGTTGGTTAAAATCGTATATTATAAGACATTTTAGGTCACTGAGGTTATTTTCTCTTTATTTAATGGGTAGTGAGATTTATTTATAATAAATTTTAGTGTAGTGGATGATTTAAAATAATATATAATGAGGTTTGACTTGATAAGTTTAGTAGAGTGGGGGTTGACTTGGTATCTTTACTTGGTAGATTTACTTAGTAGTTTTCGTAGTACCCAAAATAAAAAATAACTAGATTAACCTAGTCAAGGGAGCTAAAATGCACCTTGTGCGTCGACTAATAAAGCAGCCCGAGGTCGCGCAGGTTATAAAAAGTTACTCTGCGCCCATTTTTGCCAGGAAAAAAAACTTCAGAGTTTTGAAATCTGCTCTTTCCCACCACTCCATTAAGCTTTGATCGCCCGATTTCCTGCATTTTTTTTCTCTCATCTAGTAGTTCAGATTCTTTGTTGAATCTCGCGTTTAACTTAAAAAACATTTTTCGTCGAGAAAAAATCGATCTTCAAGGAGTTTAGTTATCCATGTCGTCGGATATAAGCTAGACTTCTCTGTAGTTTTTTCACTTTCTATTTCCGAAGACTCGAAATGATTTTCTGTCTAAAGATGGCTGTACGCAGCAACGTCTTCAGCGGAGTTAATTGCGAGGAGAGTTTCATATTTGATCTCTCGAGTTTGATCTTGTAATTGGCATCTGCTAAGAAAACCTCTAAAAGGTCATTTCTTTTTTTCTGTTTTTTTTATTGGGCGCAAAGGAATGGGAACGGATAGTTTGTTATTGCCAACGGTTGGACCTCCAATTAAACCGCGAGCAGGGCTGAGGAGAAAACAAGCTGGAAGAGGCTCTTACAGAGGAAGTTAGGGGCTTTATTGCAAACAATAGATAGGCTGGGGGAGTGTTTTTGAATTGAAAATTTCGTTGCTTTTAGTTGGGGACGGGAGCTTTTCGAACCTCCAAAAAAAATATTGGTTTCTGTTTTTGAGGAGAGATAGGGATGGGCAGCAGTACAACTGACAGTGGATTGCACCAGATACTGAGAAGTCTCTGTCTCAATACTGAGTGCAAATACGCCGTTTTCTGGAAGCTTAAGGATCGAGCTCGAATGTCAGTAACCTGCCTCTTTCTTACCTTTTTGTTTCCTTTTATGTTGATCACCATTTTCTTTCAATTGATTGATTCACAGTATCTTGTTTGTTGCGTAGTTTACAGGAAAATAACTTGTGAATATTTTTCCCTGTTCCTTGAGGTCAGCTAATTCGATGTCTGAATGCCATCTGCATCTAATTATCTGGATTTTATGATCTAAGATGATTTGGGTGTTTTGTTTGATTTTTGAATTATGGTGGGCGTGTTATTTAGGTAACGATGGAATGGTTTTGACCCCTAGATTTGGCATAAGATTGAATCCTAACCTGTATTATTCAATTGCAATCTGCCAATTTTTCAGAAGTTCTGGAAATCGACATACTTGCCTTTTGTGTTCTTCGATTTCTCTTTTGTCTTTGGATAAGCTTTTCTTGCATTAATAGAAGAAATCAGGTAAAACTGTTACTTGCAAACAGCCAAGTGATGCTGTACAAACAAAACCTATAAGAACTGTACAGAGATTACTCAAGTATATCTCATGCTATACAAATATTCATATCCACACTTTCATCCCTATTTATCCTTTTCCCACTAAGTCTTATGCTAATAGTATTCTTTATCAAATTGGAAATCTCCATTTCACTAGCTACCAACCTTTGAAACCGTCTTTTGTTCCTTTCTTTCCATAGAAAGTAAATTAGTGCATTCCAGGACAGCTTTAATATCAGAGTAATCAGTGACTTACCCTGAAATTTGCTGCTCACACACTGAAATTGCTGCATCCAAGAAAGCATGCTCCTATTGATTACAGTGTTGCAGAGTTAATTCCCTAACTTTATTTGTAAAAAACACCCAGCAAATAGATGATCCCTGTTTTCTAAATGACCTTGACACTAAAGGAAAACGGGTGTCATTGCCATTCCCAAACCGTGCTTAAGGATTTTCCTCCAACTCCAGCTAACATTGCACCTTCTAGTCACGTAGCACAAGGGAATATTCTTAAGGGAATATGCCATGCTTTGTTCCAAAGTTCCAAGTTCTTCAACACCAGACCTACTTCCTTTGGCATACACACCTTCTAGGAGAGAAAAAGTGGATCAATACCAGTTGATTATTTGGAGATTGTTTTTCATGTTTTTTTACTTTTGGAATATTGACCTAAGATTATCAGGAGAAAACTAATCGCTCTGTTTTACCTTTAATTTTGTGGGATGTTATGCTGGCTGTTGTGAAAATACTTTGGTGTGTTTGGTTACTTGCGATCCTTAATGTTGAACTTATTACAGGGTGCTGACTTTGGAGGATGCATACTACAACAATTGTGACCAATTTGATCCTTCAGGGAACAATTGTTTCCGAGATTCATTAGAAAACTTGCACAGCGGTCATTGTTCGCATGACCCCCTTGTTTTAGCTTTGGCAAAGATGTCTTATCAAGTATATTCACTAGGGGAAGGGTATGGCTCAATCCATTGATAATTCTGTTGTTCATTGTTTGATATGTTTTTGGCATTGTTACTACAGTAGTTAAAGAATGATACAAGGATGCAACCTATTGAAAGTAGTGTCTTGTTACCCTTACAATCTTCTTGCACCTTTAAACAATCTCAGTATATGATTTTAATTATGATTCTGATAAGTATCAAATTACTGAATCTGAAAAGAAGTGGGTAAGAGAACGTGTGGCTTATGCAAAAAGTCCCATTTAATATTTATTCCTTGTTATACAGGATTGTTGGACAAGTGGCAGTTTCCGGAAAGCATCAATGGATATTTGCAGATAAGCATGTTAACAGCTCCTGCTCATCGTTTGAGGTGAGGAGCTTTACCAAGCACTGATGTCTAGCATACTGTTTCAGAGTTGATTTTGTTTTCAATACTCACTCCATTTTCTGCCTTGATTTAAATTTCAGTTCTCTGATGGTTGGCAAAGTCAGTTTGAAGCAGGGATCAGGGTATGCTTGCACGCTTTTACTCTGTTTTTTAGTCGTGATGATTTCCATGGTTCAACACATGGAAGTCAATAACTGATCATGTTTCTAGGTCAAAGGTCCAAATCTTTTTGGTGGAGAGTGAATGCATTTTATTCCAATCTACTTTTACAATTTATTGTGCTAGTTTATTTGACCTTAGCGAAAAGTGAAACTTTGAAAATAAGTTTCAACTCGCTTAATTTGTATTCTAGGAGTTTGTAAGCAAATGCCTTCCACAATGTTGCCTGCAACAGTCTTTTGCCTAAAGTTTATTTTCCTTCCCTATATGGTTAAGCTATTAATAGAAATATTTGTCATTTTTCCTTGTAGACCATTGTTGTTGCTGCTGTTGTTCCACAGGGAGTTGTGCAGCTTGGCTCCTTAAATAAAGTAAGATGAGTTCCATTGTTTTGGCGCCTTTTTACTTTATGAATGTTTATCAATGTCTTTACTTTATGTTGATGTTTGTCCAACTTCTTTTGGGGGTTCTGGCATGAATATCCTTAACCTCATAAGATTTTTGTTTTATACGAAAACATCTTGCTCGCTTGATAGATGTTATCTACTACTGTAGTAGTGTCAATGAAGGAGTTGGCTTCTAAAAAAATAATATTTTTGTGTGGCTTTCCCCTTGTAATTTTGATACTTTTTCTTCAGCACTTTCACCACGGGTAGAACAATTTTGATTCTCTGAATTCTCAACTTTACATTTATGTTTATATTTGATGGTATTTGGTACACTGAAAATATGTAAGAAAACTCGTGCCTTGATATGTTAAAAGCGTTTATAACAAGATAAAGAATTACTAAAGTATGCTTTAGTATGGCAAAGTCCTAGAAGCCTTTTCTGGATTTGACATTTAGTATGATTGGCAAATAGTTTGTTGCTTTTTGTTCTAGTTCTTTTGAGCTGATACACTAGACAGAAATATAATATTTAAGTTCTATTTATCTGAATGGAGCAGGTATTTGAGGATGTGAAGCTTCTGAGTCACATGAGAGAGGTGTTTTTTTCTCTTCAAGATTCTTCTCTAGGGCATATTGGCAATCCAATAGAATGTAGCATGAAGAGTTCAGTTTTTGAGGTATATTTCAGTTTTTCCTTCATTTTGTGTATCGGCATGTGTACATTCATACAACCTTTCACAACATTACATGTGCATTTGTTTGTTTATGTTATCAATACTTTTGGATCTTCATTTTTCAGCCCGGATTACATACAAAACTATTGGATTCAGAAGTTATTTCTTTAGATAAAGCTGTAGACAAAGAAGGACCAGATTTTTTGTTGCCCGAGTTTTCACATCACCAAAAAAGCAGTGATAGTTCATTTGTTTTTCCACTGGCCAATAATAATCAGAGAAGGGCAGTTGATGTGGAAAATAAGCATGAAGGGCATGAGCTATTCTCAAGAGGGAGTGACGAGACTGCTAAATTGCTGACACCAAGAACAAATGTATCTGACTTGGAGCATCTAAATCAGTTGGGGAGGAATTTGATAACAAATGGGGTATGCAAAGGGGAGACTAGTGGGTGGAAAAGTTCAAGTATGGGACCAGAAAATGTTTACACAAACCATCCTGTTGCCGGTAGTACAAATTTATTTAATGTTGCACTTCAAGCTGAACAGTATGAAGCTGATCATACATTATACTCAAACTTCCTTCAATCTGCTATTAGTGATACTGTTAAGTTTAGTGGTTTGAATTCCTATCAAAATGAAGTGTGGGACACTCCTGAATCTTCATATGTAAAATTTCAAAAGCACTTGAAGTTGGGGAATCAAAATGATTCAAGTGACTTGGACTCTATAAACACTTCCTCAAAGTTTTCTGCTGGGTATGAGCTTTACGAAGCACTTGGACCTGCTTTCCTGAGAAAGAGTATCGATACCAATTGGCAGGTAGTGAATATGGAAGTTGGAGGTAATATTGAAATGCTAAAGGGGATGAGCAGCAGCCAGTTAACTTTTGAATCTGGTTCAGAGAATCTCCTAGAGGCTGTAGTGGCAAATGTTTGCCATATCGGCAGTGATATCAAAAGTGAGAGATCATTTTGCAGATCAGCTCCATCATCGGTGACTATTGGAAATACACCAGAGCTTTCAGGCCAAACGAAACATACTGTTAGTTCAGCTGATTATTCAATTAATCAGTCCTCTCTCAAAGAAAAAAACACGCATCAATGCTTGAGTTCGTCAACTTTATGTGGAGCATTGTCTTCAAAAGGGTTTTCTTCTGCTTTCCCTAGCAGCCTTAGTGAGCCAGCTAAGAAAAACAAAAAGAGGGCTAGACCTGGTGAAAATCCCAGGCCTAGGCCGAGGGACAGACAACTTATTCAAGATCGTCTTAAGGAGATAAGGGAGCTTGTGCCTAATGGAGCAAAGGTAAAGTGTTGGGTTCTGATGTTTTCCTTTTCTGTCCTTACAAAATGTCAATATGCTAAAATTTATAGAAAAAATATGCAGTGCAGTATTGATTCGTTGCTCGAGCGCACAATCAAGCACATGGTCTTTCTGCAAGGCATCACAAAGCATGCTGACAAGCTCAGTATATGTGCAGAATCAAAGGTAAGGCGGTGTACTGGTTAATGATTGTTTTCGCTTAGTAAACTAGAAACCAAGAAGATTTCACTGATCTGATTGACTATTGGGGTAACAAATGAAATGATCTCATTTAACTTCTAATAGAATTTTTGGGAGCTTTTACCTGTAGACACTAAATTTTTACCCGAGCAACCCCCTCCATCCAGCAGCCCCTCCACACATCATTTCCAGCAGCTTCCAGCGAGCAGCCCCTCCACGCATCAGTTGCAACAGCTTCCAGCACTGCCAGGTGATCCAACGCCCTGCTGCCACGCTGAAGCCTCCAGAAGCCAGCTGCCTTGTCCACGTTGCTACCCTATAGTGAGTCACCACCATAGTTCGGTGACTCACCGAGGGCCATTCCTTTAACTGGTCCGAAGAAGACACCGACGAGGCCTATAAATGGCCATCTCCTGCAGAGAAGAAAAGGGGAGGAAAAAAGAGAAGAGACACAGAGCCACGAGAGAAGAAATACACAGAGAACGGGAGACGAACAGAACGGGAGACAAGTAACAGAGACGAGCCACGAACCCACAACCAGCAGTAAACCAAAACAGAAACGAAGAGAAGGAGAGAAACTTACCGGGGAAGCCATGACCATCGGATCCCTCCAAAAACGCCGTCGAACAGTGAAAATAACGAAGGTATTTTCTTAAATCAAGGAAATTCCGGGGATTTTTAGGAAAAATGGATGCCGGATTCGGCCTTAGAACAACAAGATCTATATCCTAGGGTAATTTGTAAGTTTCCGGCCACCGTGGGCGGTGGTCGGCGGTGGTGTTGGCACCGGAGCAAGGCGGCCGGCCGATTGCCTTCATCGGTGAAAACAGAGAGAATTGTTCTCTCATTTTAGAGAGAAAGAAGAAAAAAAAATAAGAAATGAAGGGCTCAGAGCCCTTCTAGGCCGGTTAATGGGTTTATAACCCTTCCCCCATACGACGTCGTTTAGGGGGAGGGGTGTGCGTGTAATTTCTATCAGGGGTAAACCCTGTCCGCAGTCACTATAGTTTGTGATCATTACAATTTAGTCACTGAAATTAATTTCTGATTATTTTAATTTAGTCTTTTAATTTTATTTTATTTTAATTTAGCCCTTATCAACATATATATATTTAAGGTAAATATCAAATTTAGTCCCTCATATTTTAGTAATTCTTATTTTAATCCCGTATTATGAATTATGGTTAAATCACACTATTAGCACTCAAGTTTTATAATATTTTGAATTAGGACTTTAGTTTTATAATTTTACATTTTAATCATTAATTTCATTAGTTTGTTTTTATTTTTTACTATGATTTTTAATATTTTACATTTTAATACTATATTTTTATTTCCTTTTATTTTAATCATTATTTGCAATATTATTTTATTATTATTATTTTTATTGTTTTAATCATTATTTCATTATTATTATTTTATAATTTATAAAAATAAATATATATATATATATAATAAATAATATATATATTTAAAATCCTATATTTCATAAATTACTTTTAATAATTATGTTTTAATATATATTTATTTATTTTTCAATATTAAGAAATGGCAGTCTTAAAATAACTGGATGTCTATTTTCTGATATTTTTAAATAAATAAATATCCTATTGTTTTAAAATTATATATTAATTGTTTATTTATTTTTTAATATCGAAGAAAAGAGTTGTCTTAAGGCACCTAGAAATCATTTTCTGATATTTCTAAATAAATAAATATTTTATTTATATTTTATATATAAATATATATTTTTTTTATATAATTATAACTTTGAAATAATAAGATTATAAATTAAATATATTTTTGAATTTTTAAATTTCCAATAATAAGAGACAATTTATAATTAATAAGTACCAATTTTGGGCGTTGTGGGGGTGTTAATCCTTCCCCAAACGTAATCGACCACAAATCCTTTTTTATTTATAAAAAGAATGAATTTTTGGTTAAACGCAGATCAATTTATCTTTTAATTGATGTTTTCTTAAAAACTCTTTTAAAATATATTTTTTAGGTATTCGACTTACCTGACCCAAAAGGCCGATGGTGACTCCCAAATTATTTTCAAAACCATTTATTCACATTATTTTTCACGCCAAGTAAAAAAATTCGTGCTCGGACGAAAACCGGTTACGACAGCTTGGCGACTCCGCTGGGGAACTATTAAACTTTAAAATTAATTATAAATTGTTTCTATTAATTAGAAATTAAAAATTCATTTATTTAATTTTTAATTATTTTCTTTCAAATTTTTTTATTACTTATTATTTTTATATTATTTTATTAATATTTTCAGGTATTAATTATTTTATTTATCTGTTAGAGGTTTGAATATTTCTCCTCACACACAACACTTGCATTGCATAACATAAAGCTCTATAATTGAGTTTGTCCCTTTTAAGTGGGAGTGAAAGCGACGTCTTCGTGAGTATTTATTCTCTGTGTCAGACCTAGCAAGTAACTTTCGGGGTTCATATGCTCTATGTCTTCGTGAGAATTTATTCTTCGTGTCAGGTATAGAGAAATGTATCGCCTCGAATTGAACTCGATCCGCTTAAGTCTGTAATGGACTAGGATTGAGGGTTGACAGCCCAAGAGGGCATCAACAAGGACAGTTCGAGTACCTTTACTCCTAGAACTAAAAACCTGCATATAATAAACCCTAGAAACTCTCCTGATCTGAAACCATGCCGAAATTTTGTAAGTAGGTATACACAAAGGAGAAATAAGTTCTAGCTTTTAATTTATTTTATTTCCTTTTTCCTGAATAAATGCATGCGAACTAGAAATCATACGGTTAGGTTAAATTT